TACAGAAAAGAACATTTATGTTTAATCTATCTAATAGTGTGTTGGTCATACTATACAATAATTTATAGCTCATAAAGAGCTTTAAAAAATAATTGCATATTAAATCGCAATCGCAATATTGGTAAAAAAAATCGCAATTAGATTATTTTCCAAAACCGTTCAGCCCTAATTGGAACAGTTCATTGTTGGAGCTGAGCTGAATGATAGAGAGATGCAGATCGTGTGCAGAGCAGGGGGACGCGAGGAACAGTATTAAGAACTGCTGCTTTAGAACATTGATTTTGAATCTTGTGAATCCATTAGAATCGTTAGAAGACAGAATCGCGATTCATATATGAACAGATTTTTACGTGCACCTCTATTTCTCTTCCTCTTCTCTAAAGCAGCGCAGCATGGCCTCGCCCCCTTTGCTGCCTTTTCCCGAGGGCGGGGTTTATCTGGGTTTGTGATGTCACGAACCCGTGAAGTAACTTGTTGTAGTCCCTACCAGCCATTTTTGTAGGCATTAAACTGCCAGAATTTTAAAAGACGATATCTCTGTTTGCATTGAACTTTCAGCTTCGCAACTTTGCAGATATTGTTTATGCTCAAACAGCAACATTACACACTAACTAACATTAAAAAAGTGAAATCGCAATCAACCACCCCTTTAACAGTTTTATCATTTTACTTTGCACATTTTGGCTTAATACATAATGGTAAAATATAGGATAATAAATGTCAAATGTGTTTTAAATGTCCTAATTCTCATAGCAACACTTGTTCTTATGTACTCCAATTCAGCCAAGCACAACAATCCTGCTTTCTTGAGCCTCCAATCCCATCCCTTAACCAATAAACAAAGTGGTGTAAACACCGACTCTATATGTTGAACTTTGTACCTGTGCAAACAAGGTCTCAGTTCAGTGTCTGCCATCTGGTCACAGCAGAGGGTGCAGCAGTTATCTCTGATGCTAACTTGCTTGAGCAAAGCCAGGCGCCTGTGTCTGAAATAATGAAAATAGTGGCATGAATGGTATGAGTCACCTGCTTTAGGTGATAACTAATGTATTATTCACATTCACAACAGTCATTGATACTTGGCCCTGTGTACAGAAATCTAATAAACGGTGCAAACCTGGGCAAAATGATTTTCTCATCTGATGCGAGTGAGGCAAACTCATTAAATGTGTTGAATTTGATGGAGGGGGGATGGCGGAAGGGCTTGGCTCCGAAGTTGAACTCACACTGTTGGTAGGACATGAAACTGGCTGCGGCAAAGAAGCCAGACCTAAGACAAGGTAAAGCAAGTTTTAAGACAAGGTAAAGCAAGTTTTAAGGCAAGGTAAAGCTCCATAAACATTTTTTTTTTGTGGTGGAGGAAGTGAGCTTTGCTTACGTGGCGGAGGAGAACACCTGCTTCTCAGGAGGCAGCTGGTGTCCGTTTAGATAGAAAATCATCTGCTTCTTACTGAGGTCCAGCAGGAACCCTATGGCATCACCTAGAAAGCCCAGAGAACACTTAGTACAAAACTTTGCTAAAGTTTTATTTCCAAAATGATGAAATACACTACATGTAGGAAAACATCACATAATTGAAGAACTTGGGTGCTGAACAGGATGCTCTGCACAAACCTTCTTTCCAGCAGGGGTGGGAGTGAGGTTTACTGCGAGCGTTGTACCAGATCAGCTGCCTGCAGCCATCATACGCACATGAGTACTCATCATCTCCAATCCCATAACCCTCCTGTACAAAGAAACATGTTCTTACTACTGAAATTCAAGTTGATTTCTTCATTTATGTGATAAGATAATATAATAAGAGAAAGCACAAATATCTAAACATAACCAGAAACACACATGGTTAAGAAACTTGCTGTCCTTGGTTGCCCAGCCAATCTGCATGACGCCAGAGGTGATGACCGTTACTTCATAGTACCAAACTCCCGAATCCACACAGAATGTACAGCGGACGCTCTCAAATGATGATGCATCACACCGCGCCTAATGAGAAAAGGCCAGATCACGTTAGACATCAAGTTTTTGCACTAATCACAATATTTTGTTTGTTTGTTATGGTTACAACTAGCTATTCTTCCACAATAGGTAAAAAGGTTAAGGCATGCTTAGAACTTTATGAGTTGTATGTAAACCTTTCAAAGAAGTATGAAAAGATGTTTTGTTTATAGAGTGGCCTAACTGGAAGTGAAACAGCAGAATTGCACAGAATTCTGTAGATTTCCACATAATCTGAATCATCATTCATATCTTTCATATCTCTACAACATTCCTCATGCCTTGTGTGTATATTTATTTGGTTTTCATTTATTTCTTTATTCTCATTTTGAAAGTGCTTTAAATAACGGTCTTCTATCTACCAATAAGAGTGTAGTTCAGTTCTGTTGATCACATCTTACATGATCTAAATCCATTTTGCAGAATTTAACCCACAGTTATAATAATGGTTTGTCTCTCACCTCCAGTCCAGTAGGAGAGATCTTGAGATATTCGCTGACATCATTACTGTTCAGCATGGCGTTGATGTTGTTTAAGTTGACCTTCTCATAGGTAAACTGACGCCCCTCTTTAATGACTACAGGCCAAAGTGTGACCAAAGATAAAATTATCAGTGAGACACAATGTACAATCTTAATATTTGACTTAAATTGACAAAATCATCACCAATTACAAACAGTTCTTCCATATTCCACAGAAAGTGAACTCAATGAAAATCAAAAAAAGTATTTAAAGGATTTCACATTCTATGGGAAATATTTATTTCCTAGGTCATTCTTCATTTAAAAAGTCTCAGTAAAGATACTCACAGAGGTTATCAAGGCTCCACTGGGCACAAAAGCCCACTTGACGCTTCAGGTAGTCTGGATGATCTGCCCAGCACTCCAGAACAGACAAACGCTTACTGATGCACGATTCCGACACTGTTAACTTGTTTTCACCTAAGATAAAGACAGACTGTCATTAAAGTACCTTTCTGAGACTCTTCTGACTGAACATTTTGAGCGGAGACCAGTTAGACTTACTGGTTTGAGAGAACTTCTCTAAAGCGATGAGAGCAAACAGCATGACAGTGGGATGGGCCTCAGAACTCTAGAAGAACAACAAGACCACTTCAATGGCTATAATACCAGCTTTAATGCAATTGATCGTGCAAAACCAAAGCATTAGTATAAAAAGAGTGAAAATGATCACCAAACTGGGATATTTCGCAGCTTAGTTTACATAAGTATTCTAAGTATACTGGGGAGGAAGATTTGCATTGTGAATGTTAGAGTACATCTATGCAGCAATTTGAACCATCACTTCAAAAGACTTCCTGTTTTCCATGATGTGACCCCTTAAAGAAATACCCCGTTAGTCAGTATGTTTAATAAAACCACTCAACATTCTTACCAAACTCTCAAGTAAGTACTCCAGAGTTCCAGGGCTGAGGAGCGCAATGCTCGCTGGACCTGTAGACAGAAGAGTAAAAAGATGAAGTACTCTAGTATTAACTAGGGCTGCACGATAAATCGCAGCGATATTTAACGCGCATCTTGTCAGTAAAGCTGGTTCTTTAATCAGCGGTAAATCTATCGCATGCGATTTATCATGCAGCCCTAGTATTAACCAAATGATTCCTTTGGGCAATGTGTCTTAGGGCTGTCAAAATGGCTGAAAAACTAAATTCGAATTTTGTAATTAAATATTATCAAAATTTGAATTATATTCAAATTTAAATGGCAGAATTTCAGTTAGGGTTAAGAAAAGCTTTTGGCTTCTCTCCTGAGGCCACAAGAGGGCGCATCGAGCAAAATACTACTAATGCAAATCAAAGCATAAGACAACATGACTATCTGTGAAAAAAGTGCATAATGTTTAAAATAATGTTTATAAACCAATTATAATTAATTAAGTTCCTTAAACAACTATAAACAAAACAGCATCATGTATGTATGCATAGTTTAATACAAAGGGCCGAAAGCCAATCACACAGAGTACATTTTTCATTTAAAAACACGAGTTGCAGTGGGATGGGGAAAATACCCCACCATAAAGTCTTGAGATATGCTTTTTTAAAGTTGCATTAATTTTACATGGCTTTCTAAACATGCGGCTCTTTTGTGCGAGACGCGAGTGCAATGGTGATAGATGTCCCTCTAGAAAATGCGCGAAATATGCGTTCTGTGTAAACGGCTTGGTTTCAGTTTTGACGTAAACAAAAGATCTTCTTTGCATTGATGTTCTCTTTTTCCGCAATATTTGTCATTAATTACGCAGCAGCGCCGCATCTAGTGGCTTCAACTGGATATGCTAAGAAAAACATAATCCAACGACACTTACATCGTCATCGCATCTTGTGCGCCACTGATAAGGCTGCCTCCTTAACGCACACCTAAAATTGTGGAGTTTAATTTTAAATTCGACGAATATTTGAAATTAGATTTTTTTTTTTTGACAGCCCTAATGTGTCTGACCTTAAAAACAGAAGCACATATCTACAAACTGAGAGAACTGGACAGTGTGCGTGTGTGTGTTTGTGTGCTGCAGCCTCAGCAGAGCTGTCAAATCACAGGCCTCTGAGGGAGCCTGCAGCATGCTCAGTCATGACAGGTCTTCACAGGTCTTCACAGACTGCAAACTCAGCTCTTTAGCTTTAGAGGAACAGGCTAGTGCAAATATGACGTAAAACGAGATGCATATATATATATAGTATACACACACACACATACATATATATATATATATATATATATATATATATACACAAATCCTAAAATTATATGTATCGCTTACAAATAACTGGACATCACATCTGTGACAGTGTCAGAATGGGAAAAAGGCTTGCAGCATTGCTTCAGTCAATGCAGTGTGTGTGTGTGTGTGTGTGCATGTCCCTTACCAGCCAGTTTCTCAGCCAGACAGCCCAGGACTGCTGTGGTGTTGCGGTGTTTGGCTGGGATGAGGGCATCCTGACGTGCCACAGCAGCACTCAGATTTAACATGTCTGACAACTTCTGCAGAGCATCCTTACAAAACAAACTCTTCATCAATGACTGAATTTGTAATGGGTCAGAAAATAATGCACTGAATCAGGAAACTACCACACACAGAACAGCTGCTCCTTCACCTTAATATTAGCTGCACTTTCTTCCTCAAAACTTAAACAAGGAGTCAGAAGCAATAACATATTTTTACTCATACTTAATATATATATTTTTACAAGGTTGTTACTGTCACTTTTGATCAATCCTTGCTGAATAAAAGTATTAATTTCTAAGTACTAAAAAACATAATGACTTTAAACTTTAAGTAGAGTATTTGAAGATAACAATATGTATATACACAAAGATTCTTCATGTAATTTAACACATTTTTTCCATATTTGGAATTTGATGGACCCAAACCAAAAGAGGACATAAATGAACAATAAATCTCGTATCAGTATAAAAACAGTTGCATAACATCATAATACCTTAATCTTGAATCTTAATGCTCAGTTAAGCATGATTCTGACCGCAATTATAAACTATAACAGAAATTATACCAAGATTTTATCTTGGTATCAAGATAAAATAGAAAAAAGAACCATTTCAGTGCAAAAAAAGCATCTGTTGAAATCAATTAAATAAAGCGAGAGGGATATCACTCAAAAGCAGCATAAATTCAAGTACCAGGGAAATGTTGTGGTCCCATTTTCAAAGTGCTAGAAAAAATAGAGCTGCATTACTGTCCATTAGCAAAAACAGAGGTGGAAAAATAGTTTGGTAGTCAATGTTGTGTGGTAATGTATATGTGAACTCACTTTGGTAGGCAAAGGGCATTCATCCAATAAGAGGGTTATTACGGCCGGTCCTAGTGGGTCATCTAGAGGAATTACCCTAATTAAAGACTGCACCACTTCCAACCAGCCATCATCTACAGCGTGAGAAAAAGAGGGACAGAGACAAAAGAGGATGGGGGGGAAGAACAAACAGAAGTTCAGTCTATGGGACATGTCTATTACAGAGCCATTATTATGACAATGCATTCAAACAACATTGAAAATGATTGGTTAAACAATATGGGTTTTTCCAATTGCTAATGCCAACATCTCGAGAGCAGATGGTCTATAAGAAGTCAACATTATATGATAATGATGATGATGATGATGATGAGCAAATTAGATAACTAAATTGCTAAAATTACACATTTATTTTACAGAAAACATACTCAAAAATGCACATAAATTGACACAAAAACAATCTACTAAACACATGCTATTCAGGGGGTTTCGATGTCAATCTTGAAGCCCAGAGTAGCGTTTCCACCTGTTTACTCCTGCATGAAGCTCTAAGCAGCCACCTGACGCCACAGAGTCTCAAACCACAACATGCAGGCTCAGCTTGGAGCAACAGATGCATGTATAAATAAAATCAACAGTCACAGAGGCTTTGGCAATGGCACAAGAAGAGAGGCAGACTGGCGACCTGCATATTATGACCTTGCTCAATTTTGACCCCTGATTAGAGTCTGGTCCATCCGCAGACCCAAACAATCTCCTCAACATTACAACGGTACACTTAGATTCACTGCAGGTAACATCCATGACTAATTAAAAAGATAGAAGGTAAATTTGTATGCAAAAAGGACATGTAAACAAACAGCAGCGCACTGCCCTTGTAAACTAGCAAAAGCAGTGTAGCTTTTACACACTTTTAAACACAGTGTTTGTTTCTGCAGTCTTGAGGCTCTGAGGGACTTTAAAGCTGCAGCTTTCTGTTGCGAACTGAGTGACGGCATGACAATGGCAGCGCAAGGCACGAGCCAAAATTCAAAAGTAGCCGCCACTAATACCCACAGCTTCCGCTGTTAGATTAAAATCCTAATAACTTAATCAGTAGCCAGGGGGTCACAACAAGCTGCACTTGTTCCCCTGATGGAAAAAAAACAAGCCTGGAACCAAAGAGTCGAGGTTCGGCTGGTTTGCTTGGCTAATAACTACATTGTTTTCTGACAGACATTCAAAAGTAGCTACTCATTCTAACTAAATAAAACTCAACAATGAATGTTTTGAGCTTTATATTTGAGTAGATGAAGTAGACACCAATGAATGTCACAGCTCATGCACACGCCTGGAGCAAGGAGAAAGTAATAAAGCTGAAGAGCTTGTGACTGCACACATTCTCGTTGTGCCATCAGTGTTGTCATTCTCCTGTGGTTCCAGATCATTTGGGTCATATTTACGATTCAGGTGATCCTTTCAAAACAAATCAGAGTTTATATGAAGCAAAAATGGCACCATCCAAGTCTGAGATTTCAAGCATTGAGATGAATGGGAATGTTAACAGACAATTTTCTCCAGGCATTTTAGGGGGTTTTTAGACTTCATACACTGGTTCATGAAAAGACCAAGCATAAAGATGCATTTGAGATGAATAGCAATCCAATCACCTCAGTAGGTGGTACAGCTGTACGATTTGAGAGAGAGAAAAAAAAATCTAACTGTCGTTTTTATGATAAAAAAAATTGTGATTGCAATTTAAAATGTAATTTAAAAAGAAAGGAAACAAAAAAAACTTCAGATTTGCTGTTCTCATTTGCGGGGATGGACAACTTTGCCAAAAATGTTGAGATTATATCTCAATATGACTATAAAATAATTAATTAAAAAATCTTATTATATTATTATTAAATACAAATACTAAACAAAATTAAGAAACTGTTGTAATATTTCACTTTAAAATTAAAAAATGAGAAATTTAAGAAAAAAATAAACAATAATAATTTCATTTTAAAGTACAGCTGTAAAATTATAATACTAATATTTATGGCTGACTATGGCTGTCTAAGTTCTTAATTTTCAAACGTTAAACCATCAAGCTTTTATTTTAGCAGAAAACCACAGGGAGCACTTAAGCTTCTCTTTTGTTGACAACAGCTGCTTTATAAGTGCTTCTCATAACAGGTTTATTGCATATTCTCAAATTCATGTCATGAGTGAGCCAAACTCAGAGTAGATGCATATGAGTTTGAGTGGTGCAGAATTTACAGCAAACCAAGCTGCAGTTTACATGTAAAAGAACACAATGGCACACTTCACTCTGAAACACGCAGTGCATAAATCTATTAAATAAAATTACAGCCTTTGCGATTTGGTAATCCCATTATCCATATAGATAATCACATATAAGCCATACAATAAGTGACATGGGTAAGTGTATATGCATCTGCATGTGCATAAACTTTACTCCTCGCAATCAGAATGCCAGCATTTGAAAGTTTGTGAATCCCACCATCCACATGTGAACAATCTTGGATGAGACACATGGATGACAAGAGCATTAGAACTTTCTTGTATTGGCATATAGCGCAATAGCAGATTTGAACCCTTTATGGAAGTGCTGCAGCATTTTGCGTGTCATTCACTCACCCGTCTCTGCCATCTCATGCAGCGTTATCATGGAGTACGGTGGCTCTTGGTCACTGAAACACAAAAAGAACAAATACAATAGTTAATGGCAAAAAAGTAGAGCAACCTAATAAGAGAAAATGTTTACCTGTGTGCCTCATACCCAGGGTGTAAGCATCTTATTTAGTCCTTGGCTGCTCTAGACATTAGTTATGAAAGCCTAATGCTATAACAGGTGATTGTGTGAAACATGGCTGGTTGCTATTGGAGGGCAGACTCCCGCCGCCACCGCTGTTTTGGCTTTAGGGTGTATGCATCCATTTTGCAAGCTGGGTCTGCAACAGTAAATCTAAGCAGCGATAGCAAAATCCCATGAGGTGCCGATCAAAACACCACCAGAGACACTTAAGCAGGGAAAATAAATTTGCCTCTATTCTGCAGTGTGACACCGTTGTGGTTCATTTGTCAGTCATAAATCAGTGCTTGGTGGGTACTAGGGGTGATGTTTTCAAACAGCAGACGAGGACAAGGAAAAGATAGCTATGAGGGTGGTCGAAAAAGAGAAAGAGAGAGTGTGTGAGAAAGGTCTAATGCCCCCAGCCATAGGTGTCTGTCTGCTGTGTGATTGCTGTGTAATGGTCACACAGGGATATGTGCTAGTTAGAAACACGCTGATTTTCTGCACTGTACAGAACAGACCCCCCTAATTCAAGGTTCTCAACCTTTTTGACTCAAAGTCCCCCATACTGGCTAAAATATTTGCTCTAGGATGGTAATTAAGACAATATTGCTTGTCTTCAAACTTTATTAACAGAAACTGGGTGTTAGTAAATTATAGACGATTCATGTTGTGATTCTATGAGATTGAATCTTTCAATAAAAAGAGTTATGGATATACAGTATATGCTCATTACCAGTGTTGGGAGTAACGCATTACAAAAGCAATAATATTACAGTAGTATATTACTTTTTGCTGTAACGCAGTAATATAACGCATTAGACATATTTATAAAATGTTTCCTCTGGTTGACAGAGTAAGTATATAAAAAATAAATATTGAGCCAGAAAAGTCATGCAAATTTTGAAAAAAAATGTCTTAGCTATATCATCAAAACTAGGATTTCAGGTTTAAGAATAAAAACGGCTGTCAAAGGATGTGGTTGACCAACCATAATATATTCCAGCTGTAAAAGAAAAGAAAAGAAAAGAAAAAAACAGAAAAGAAAGGAAAAGCTGACACTCCCCCTTGTGCCCTTTAGGTATTTTTCTTTGGAATCAAAACAAAAACATTTCCTTTTCTTGTGAAGCTGCTGCTGCAGATTTTTTTTTCTTTAATCTGAGATTCTCTAAAAAAGTGACCATAAACTATTCAAATATTCAGGCAATACTGCAGGCCTCGCAAATAAGATGGTGGGTACAGAGCCACCAAATCTGATGTACACATAGAACAACTTCTAGTCTAAAGTGAACATCCATCATTAGATAGCAGTAGGCCGGCTGTGTGGGAAGGTGTAAGAACATGTAACAAAGAGGAAGAGTGACTGGCGACTCTGATATCCAGCCAAAATGTTAAAAGATACATGAAGCTCTCTCCGTTACCTCAAGCTGCTGTCTTGGGCAATACATTAGGGTGCTTTCACACCTGTAGATCGATTGCTTTGTTCCGAAACAGGGATTAAAATGATTACAATGTTGCTTTTTATTCTTGGTGCGGTTCGCTTTCAAACGGTAAAGTTTCTAAACGGACCAAATTTGTTAATACAAGTCACGCGCGAGTAAACTGTT